AGCCTAAGAAGTCCCACCTGGGAGTTACAAATGGAGTCAATCCCACCAAATTACATGCTTGAGAATGGGGGATGAGTGGTTTCTTAAAGGAAATTTGGAGCATTATCATCAGAAGGAAAAAGAACAAGCACTGGGCAGCAAAAACAAGATGCCCTCTATTGTATCTTTCTTCTAATCCCTTAATTGTCACCAGTAATAGCTTGATTCAAATCTATCCTTGTATTAGAATGTTATTTAGCTTTACGCAGTCCTGCTATTTCTGATCAGAATAAGGAAACAGAAAGGCGTGCAGAGGCTATGTTACTTAACATTCCTTTAAGTGGTCATGAATATTTCTTTGCTCCTACTTAACCTCTTCTAGCTCATTCTTATACAGCCTAAGAGTTATTTCAAAAACACACACCTGCCCTTTCCTGCTTACATGTGTTAGAGACTCCTTACTCCATTCGGATTACAGCAAGGGATACAAGCTCTTCCCAATATGTTCCCTGCCTCCCTCTCCAGCCTTATCTCTTACATCTCTTCCTTCACAGCTCACATGTCATCACGAAACCCTGGCAGTTCCCTGAATGTACTGCTTTCTCCTACACTTTTATAGCTTTCCGCCTGCAGTTTCAACTGCCTGGAACTCCTTTCTCCTTTTTCTGCCTGCTCACTTCAACTCTTCTTTGGAGATTCTGCTTTACCTCCCCCTCTTCTTTTTACTCCATGTCTGAACCAAGTGCCTCCCCTTTGTGCCCCCATAACTACCTTTTCTCCTAACAGTCTTTAAATTCAACTGTGAGCTTCTTGAGAGTAAGGATAAAGTCTGTTATTTCTGTATCTTAAACTTACAGTTTTTAATCAGAGTTCAATAGATGTTGGTTAAACAAAAGAATGAGTTGACATATCACTGTTGCTTATTGGAAATTTCCAAGATTGTAAGGGAATAGTGTAAAACTCTACCAAAGAAAGAAATTCTACACATTACTTTAACTCTAATCAATAAATGTATATATGTATAAAAAGATGAAAGGAAAAGAAAGGAATTATTGTGACTATTTCATTTACAAAGGGCAATGTGTAAGATAGATTACATTATAGAAACTGATATCTTCACAAAAGGGAAATTATCAAATAGAAAATGAGCAGAAGAATTTGTGTTATATGCTTGATAATGTTACAGCTAATATAATGAAACTACAGGGACTGAGCTCCAGGTCTGACCTTTTACAAACTCTCTTCAGTGTTAACAGAAATTCAACTATAATAAAAACAACATTCAAAAGATAAGGGGGAGGAGATTTTATCAGACAGAGAAGAGTGACAAAATGACAACTCTAAAACCTAAAGCCTCCAGACCACACTTTCATCATTTACTATTTTTTTCCAAAAGTTTCAAAAACTTTAAGGTTAAATTATAACTAGAAAATTTGTATTATAATCAGTGAATGTGAAAGAGGTAGAAAGTTTGCTATGAAAACAACTAAAACCTCATATTTAACATTTTCAGATAAAGGCATTCAGTAATTATTACTTATTTTCAAAAGTGGGATTAATATTAGGTATATTTATAAGCCAAAGTATCCTGGTGTATGTTTTTATTAATATGTCAACTCAATTATATCAAATATTTGACATGGAAAAATTCTAGTGGAGTTAGGTTATAAAATTCATACTGATTTCCTACATTTATTCCTTATTTGCTAAAAATAAGATTTTTTTTTTGAGACTTTTTATTTTGGAATAGTTTTATATTTACAGAAAAGTTGCAAAGATAGTACAGAGTTCCTGTACACCCCTCACCTAACAATGGGGTCCTCCCTTTAACATTTTACATTACAATTATCCATTTATCAAAATTCAGAAACTAACATTGGCCTATTTACTATTAAATAAATTCCAGACTTTACTTGGATTTTACCAGATTTTACATTAATCTCATTTATGTTTCACGATTCCATTCAGGGCGACACATCGCATTTAGTTGTCATGCCTCTTCAGCCTCCTCTGACCAGGATAGTTCCTCAGCCTGACCTCTCTTTTCATGACATTGTCAGTCTTGAGGAGTACTGGCCGAGGATGCTGTCAAATGTCCCCAGTCTAGGTTTGCCTGCTGTTTTTCTCACGATTAAACTGAGGTAAATGAGATTTGTCAGGAAAATAGCACTTGCTTTATTTACGTAGTCCTATTTTTAAGGAATCACTTTCTTTGTGCGCAAAAAAAAAAAAAAAGCCTGTGAAAACTTTCTTGGTTTATTCTGCCCACAATCGGGTCCCAAAACAAGATCCAGCAAGATTTAAGCACACGTGGCCATTTTTGATGCATGTGTACATTTTAAAGAGTTCCTATGATTTAGTGATGCATTCTTTCCAAATTATGGTAGCTTTGGAAATGTTAGCTGCTCTCATTGCTGACTGGAATAAAACTGGGAGTGCTTCCAGCACCCCTTGACAAAGCTGAACTGGGGTGCCTGCCTTTTGCCTGCACAGGTTGGCATATTTCTGAGGCCCTCTGTTGCCATGCCCTGAGGCCGTCACGGTGGGTTGATGTTGGAAATGTCTTTGGTCAGCAAGAATCTGCTGTATGTCCTAGAGATGTGAAAAAAAAAAACGTTCCACAAGCTCACAGTTTCATGAACCAAATTTGTTTTCCGATTTAGCCATTAAAATTATTAAGCAAATGAGCCATATAAGATCCCAAAATGAAATGTGGTTTTGGAAGAGATTAGGGGTCTACGTAGAAGCTGGATTTAAACACTAACAGCATTAAATTAAGAGTCAGTGAGAGATAAAAATGTTTACCTTTTTGCCTGGTTCTGCACCATTTACAGATGCTTCCATTGCTCTGAGTGATTTTTATAACAGTGAATAAATGGAAATCTACCTAAAATCTATCTTTGAATGTCATAGAGATGAGTAATCTAAAGATAAAATTGTTCAAATTTTTGCAACATGTGGGCAAATTTTCCATGGTCTCATGAGGGAGCTTAAGAACAGGATTTAGATCTTTAATCTTTAGATATTTAGGGTGAAATTAAAAGAAGAGTTTAGATTCAAGTTATTTTTTACTCTGATAGTCATGAAATACTGGGAAATAAAAACACTTTTATCCAAACTATAATCATGTTTTGTTGTTTTTCATATTCCCATAACTATTGGTAATTCTATTATCAAAATAGTTGAAACTAATTCTTTATTGTTTTCTCATTGACTTGAGATACTATTAGGCTTTGGATAAAGAAAGAAAAAGGAACATATAAGTAAGAAATAATCACGGGCCCTGGAGTCAACCTAAACTAGGTTTGAATCCTGGCTCAGCCACTTTGATCTGGGGCAAATCGTCTAACTTCTGATTATCTCAACTTTTCTTGAAATGCTGATAACTACATCATAGTGTGTTCTAAAGATTATGTGATAAACATGCTGAAAACACTGAGAGCAGTTCTTAAAATAAAGTCGATGTACATTAGTTATTTATCTATGTTATTCCTAAACAACCCAGAAGGAAGTCATCTCTTCAGCCTAGAATGTCCCAGGATTAGCAGGTAAAAGCTTTCCTGAGCAAGTGATTGCCTGTGTGTCTTAGAGAGTCCAAGACTAAAAGACACAGGCAGAGCAAGCCTAATGAGAGAAAAAGACTGAAATCCAACTTGTAAAACAAGATATGTAATAACTCTTTAGAAAAGATGAGATTGTCCTTCACTGATTTTGAATAAACTCAACCATATAAATATTTACATCTCTAAAATGAAGCAACTGCTGGTAAGAGTATGAGTTATAGTTAAATGGCAAGCTAGAAAATGCTCCTTCTTGTAAAAACAGCAAATAGGATACCATAAACACTAGCAAAATAATTGATCTCCATGAAGCAACCAAATAGCAATTATACAATCTAACTAATCAACCAATGCAATTATTTTCATATATGCAATCAATATACATCTTTGTAATAGTTTTCTATGAATGTCATAACAAGTTAGTGGCTTAAAACACAATTTTTTAATTTTACAGTTTTGTGGGTTAGAAGTCCAACAAGCCTCTCACTGGGCTAAAATCAAGATATCTACAGAGATGTATTCCTTTCTAGAGGCTCTAAGGGAGAATTCATTTCTTTGTCTTTTCTAGCTTCTAGAGGCTGCCCACATTCCTTAGCTCACTGCCCCTTCCTTCTTCTTCAAAGCTAGCAATGAGTGGCAGTTCTTACATACATCACTCTAATTTCCTCTCCCGCCTCCTTCTACTTTTAAGGACCTTTGTTACTACACCGGGCCTACCCAGATAATCCAGGATAAACTCCCTGATTATCAATACTTAACTACATTTTTAACCTTTGTTTTTGCCAACTAACCTAGCATAGTCACATGTTCTAGGGGTGGGGAATGGAGACTGTGTACATTATTCTACCTACCACAATCTCTAAGGGAGATCACCTCTGAATTATATAACAATCTCTGGGTACAAATAATATATTGCACTCACACATACTATATTCATTTTCTTCCAACGATTCGAAAAACAGAGGTTTTTTTTTTTGACAACTTTAGAAACTGCAAAGCAAAGATATTCCATGTTATTTAAAAAGAGCAGAAAAAGAAAATGCTATGACAGTAAGAGTTATGTGACCAAAATCATTCCTGTTTACATGAGGCAGTGAAAATTGATTATCTGTGTCTGAAACCATGCTCTGTCAATGACTAACTAAGACTTTAAGCAAGTTACTCCACCTCTGTGAGTCGCATTATCATTTGTAAAAAGGGTGACAATGATAAAACTTACTCCATAAATTTGTAGTGAGGACTAAATAAATTAATGCTTATAAAAACCTAGCAGGATGCCAGGTACCTGACACACATTCAATAAACATTTTACGACTGTGACTGCAACATAATAAAATTTCAAGTTCAGAAAAGTCCTGGAGCTACATGCTGATCTCTTTAGATGTGGAGAAGGGACATTTGATCAGTTCCCAAAAACAAAGTAAAATGCTGAAAGAAAATTTTAAAAAGTGACCCAAAATGTAATTTTAAAACAAACTTTTAATTTATCCTACATGCCATTTGAAATACAGTAATAGAACAAAGAGGGAAAAAGTATGGGTGTGATGTGATTTACTATAAATATAAATGATTACATACAAAAGTAGTTTGCCAACACAAGCTCAAGACAAAAAACTTTGTGACAGGTCAAGGTTTACAAAGGAGTGAAGTCCTGAGATTTGGCTCATCGCAGAAGGGACATTCAAAAGAAGGAATATGTGCAATATTCTTTTGGGGGAATTTTCCTTGTTCCTAGAAAGAAACAAGTTTAATTGCCGTAAAGGTATTATCAAAGTCCAGATAACTTACTTTCCAGCATGTACTTGTTCCTAAATCTTTAATCTTTTAACATACATTTTCAGACCTTAATTGCTCCTTCACATAGACAAAATGAATGCAGTGATAGAAGTACATTAAAGTGGGAAAGAGAATACTAGTTTCTTAAAAGGAAAATGACATACAAAATGCTCTCTATCATACTTAGAGTGATATTTATAAGAAAAAAATAAAACCAAGCACTTGAAACGTTTTCCACCCAAAAGTAGCAGAAAAATGAAAAATCGCAGAGCAAGTACCACACATAAATTTAGAGGAGAATTTGATGCCAAAATAAGGTAATAAACTACACCATTGATACTTTTCCTTTTGTGTCTTCAGTATTGATAGGAGCCAATTCATGGCACCTGAAAACTTGTAAAGTAACATTTTAACACTGAATTGTCAAGCTCTGGGGATCAAGCAGAGGAATGGTGGCTAGGTGCTTGGACCATCGGCTCTTGGAAAATCAGAAGGACCAGCTCTTTAAAGCCACAGATGTCAATTCAAAGAACATCTTCCATTTCTTCTTTGCTTCCTTCCAATGGCCTGGAAGACTCTCCCATTGGAATTTCATCTCCCTGCCTCCCGTTACGTTCCTTGGTCTCCTCATGAACCGAGTGTTGCAGGCAGTCCTGCTCTGAGTTACTCCAGACATAGCCGGGTAAAGTCACATGACTGTCGGGCTGTAGGCTGGTCATCCTAGTCGCTTTGCTAGAGATGAGAACCATGCGAGTGCTAGCCGCCATCTGCGACTGGCTGCTGGTGCTGTGAGTCACGGTGGTGAGCACGGAGCCGTACCTGTGGCCGCCGCATGGGGGCGTCCTTTTCCAGTCAATGGAGAGATTCCACCGACTCCACATCTTCTTCACTTCAGACTGAACCTAAACCATAAGAACCATATTGTGCATCAGAAACCAACAGAGACCGAAACTTTGTTAGACAAATGTTTGCCTTTATTTCAATGATAGTAATAATCATTAATTAAGGGTCCACTCTGAGCCAGGGACTTTACGCGCGCGCGCACGTGTGTGCGTGCGTGTGTGTGTGTGTGTGTGTGTGTGTGTGGCGGGGGGAGTGGGGAGGGGGCGGGCGTTCTCTCTCAATCTCAAAAAAAACCTTTGAGATAGGTGTTATTACTGAAGATGAGCAAACTGATGCTTAGAGACAGGTACGGGGAATTGTACAATGTTAGTATTTTAATAGAGGCTGAAATACAGCCAGTAGAAATATATGACGTATAGAAGAGAAAAAAGAGGACTCAGGTTGGAGAAAGAGAGATAAATAGTGCCGGCTATGGCTGAGGAACGGTGTGGAACATAACCTGAAATGTAACCATCACCCTATCACTTTGCATAGGCATACTGAAGGAGGAAAAACAGGAAAGAGAATTGAACATTGAAAAGCAGACTGCAAATGCATTCTTAATAGGGTGGGGCTCTTCTTTCCATTCCTTCAACTGAAGATTCCATTCTACTGCTAGTGCCACTTTCCAGAAGGGAGTTTATTTGGAAGTTCCATGGAAAGCAGCGAAAAACCTGGCAAGCTGATGTCACCTAGAGGAACAGCCCAATTATTTCTCTCCCGCCAATTCCTCAATGAACTGAAATTGTTCTATCACCATTCTATAGTTTTAAAAAATGTCAAAACATTCTAATAGACTCGTTTCAGGAAAACATGGTTGGGTTTCTAATAGGACTTGAAATTTAATAAGTTTAAGCATTAACTGGAATATGAAGTTCACTGACCATCCAAGTCTCAGTTTTCATTCCAACAAGTTGTCTTTTTAATATCAAGGTTTGTAACTAAACTGACCTTAACTTGTTGGAATTAATTCTTGCCTTCTCAAAATAATGTATGATGAAAATATCTCTCTTCTCCCTGCCCATTCTGTCCTATAACTCCTGGGGATCCTGCAGAGAATCAGGTCACACTGCAATGGCCATTTAAAAGAGCTAGATATGTGGGACGTCTAGGGTGTTCCTTCAAACCTACCTCTCCATTGCAGTAGCAGTAGATGATAGACACAAAGAAACCCTGGAGACAAAAAGGCATGTTAGCGTGCTGACAATTCACGACAATCACAGCACTAAAGTGTCTTGTGCCAAAATGTGTAAGTTGAAAAACGTTTTTATGATTCCTTCAGAAAATTATATACATCTCCTAATTCTCCCAAATCTTTAAGTTTACATTAAATTTGTCTGAGAGCTTTCCTTGGTGTCAGCTGACCCAAACAAGTCATTGAATAAAATAATCCAAGATACACAAAGAACTGATTTCTATTATATTCATTTCATTTATCTTGCCACTCAAGGATCACCAAATATCCCCCGGTTGGTAAGAAATATTTATACATTGTGAATGCTGAAAACTATAGACATGGGATATTATACAGTAAAAATACAACTGTTTTTATTCATTCAAAATATTTATTGAACTTATACAATGCAAAATGCTCAGCATGCAAGGGATATAGTTTAATAAAGACAGACAATCTCCCTAGTCTCTAAGAGCTTACACTTCAGAAGGAAATACAGGTGAATAAAATATAAGCAAATAGCAACATGAGAAAAATGTAAGATGATAAAGGCTCTGCAGGCAAAATAAGTGGTGTTAACAGAGAAAAATGGAGAAGCTGTATCAGATGGGGAACTCAACAAAGACCTCTCTGAGGAGGTGACGTTTAAACTGGTTCTAGTGACAAGAAGAAGATAGCCTTATGACTGTTAGGGGGGAAAACGATCCAGGCAAAGGGAACAGCAGGTACAAACCCCTAAGGAAGGAATGAGCTTGAGGAACAGGAAGCACAGAGGCTCTAGTGCGGCTTGACCTTAGTGGGCAGCAGGGACTGTGGTGTGACATGAGGTCACAGTCGGAGCCCTGCCACATACAATCGTCCACACCAGGAAACAGAGTTTGGATTTTATTCTAAGTGCAGTGAGAAGCCTCTGGATACTTTTGGCAGATAAGTGACGTGATCAAATTTATGTTTAAGATTCTTCATACAATTGTTTGGAGACAGGATTGAAGACGACAGGAGGCGTCAGCAAATGAGTACTCAGGAAGAAGGGCTGGGAGGCATCTGCAGTGATCCATGTAAGGGATGATGGTGATCGTATTTCCAAACAAGTTGAAATGTATAGAAACCACCTCTTCCTCATTTTTGTCCCCCCTTTCCTTCCCTCTTCCCTGCCTTCCCCTTCTTTTGCTTGACATACACACTCAGAGGTCCCTACTCTGTAGGCGTTAACGTATTTTACAATATGCTGCCCTGTCTCATCACCTAGGCTTGTCTGTGAGAAACAGCTCCTGCTGGGGTTAGACGGTAACCTAACCTCTGCAGGATGGAAAAGCACAGGGACCAGAGAAGAGCGCCCTCGCCTGGCCCTCGGGAGACAGGCGCATGAAAGCCCGAGAGAGGGGCGGAGAACGAGGGGCGGAGGTTGCAAGGAGGAGGGAAGAAGCAAAACACAAGAACCGAGGTACGAGACGGCGCTCTTCTACCTGAAAGGAGTTGAAGAACAGCTCACAGTGCATCCGGATCTCCCACCCGAGCCCCGAAAACGAGTGGGGCAGGCACACGAACACGATGTAGTGCACCCCGAAGACCAGCACCAGGACCAGCGTCGATTTGGCGAGTTTCCTGAAAGACAATACCAGCCTTTTTATGAATCAACTTAGAGTGCCTTTCAGTGGAAACAGCTTGCTGGGGGCAGCAACAAGCTTAGCAGAGCTAACAGGGCCTGAATTTTCCCCATCCCTTTGGACCCCATGGCTTCTGCTAGTTTTTCTCCCCTTCCTCCTCCTCCTGTTGCTTTTATACTAAATCAGGTAATTTATTCTCACCTCCCATGATTGTTATCCCCTAAATCTCTCTAATCTACTTTCTGCTTTTATTACTTAAAAGATATTATGTTCATAAAGCTGTAAAATGCCTTTTTTTCTGTCCTCGGTCTTCTTTAACTTCTGCTTGAGACTTAAAGAAGTATTACCTCCATCATGTTAACTTTCATAGGCAGCATTTTGGAGTGTTTTGTTCATTTTAAAATCAACTATTCCCTCGTTTCTTCTTAAACTTGGATCTCCATTATCATATATTTATGAACCACATGTAGTCACCTTCTCTAAATATTCTATGTCAACTAGTCTATCTCCAATTGTCTATAGTTTTAGGTTTTGTTTTGGGGGGTGGGTTTTAGGTCTTGGGGGATTGCAAACTAATCAATTTTACTTTATTTCCTTTAACTATCTCTTTACATACATTTTCTTTTGTATTTGGAGGAATCCCAGGTTTTCCAATTGTATGAGTTGACTTTAAAATAGCCCCAATGATCCCCACCTCATAGTACTGGCATCCTTGTTAATCCTCCCAGCTTGAGTGTGGGCATGACCTGGGACTGCTTCCAATAAGTTCATTAAAGCCAAGATGACAGCACGTCATTTCTGCAATTATGTTGCTTGAGATTATAATTTTCATCTTATTAGCAGACTCTCTCCCTTGTTTTGGTTCAATAAAGCAAGTCATCATGTTGTGAGCTGCTCTACTGAGAGGCCCATGTGGCGAAGTGGCATCTGGCCAACACTCAGCAAGAAACTGAACCATCACATAAATTTGGAAGTGAATTCTTCCCCAGTCCAACATTAAGATAAGACCACAGCCTTGACTGACATCTCAATTGCAGCCTTGTAAGAGATCCTGAAGCAGAGGGCCCAGCTAAGCCACGCCCAGATTCCAGACCTACAGAAACTATGAAATAGCAAGTGTGTTGTTTTAAGCCACAAAGTTTTTGGTAATTCATTTGCTCAATAGATAGCCAGTACATCCAAACACATCATTTTCTGGTGTTTAGTTTTGTGTTCTGGGTTTGAGTTTGGCGATTTTGATGGGGGGGGGGGGGGGGTTGGTTTTCTTTTGTTTGTTTGGTTTGGTTTGGTTTTGGGTTTTTGTACTTTTTATCTGAAAAAAATGCCAAATCTGGCTTCTTCTTTCTTATCTCTCGAATATTCCTTTTTCTTTGTGAATCATTTATGCCCTGGTAATCTCAAACGATTATAACCTTCTTCCATACTAACCTTTCCTCCAGCTATGTTATTTACTTAATTCCTTACTTTCTTACCTACTTGTTATTAACTTACTCATATACTTTTCTTCTTGGAAATAAACTGTGTGGGTGAGTAGCGATCACACTGGACTGAGACTAAAGAAAACTGGATTTAGGTTCCAGATTTGCTATTAACTACCTGTGTGATTGTGATTCAGTTTTCTTCCCTCCATAATGAGGGAATGGGGCCCAGAAGTCCCTAGGAGCTCTAATATTCTAAGGCTTTACACATCCACTATCCTATTATAACCACGTTTTCAGTGCCTGCAGGAGTTGGAATGTCCCACAAAATCATATTGAAATGCCCAGTTTAGACATTTGGAGTTGTACATTTGCTCAACCTCATTCTCCTCTGCCTCAGCTATCTCTCACTAGTGCCTGGATGATCTGCCCCTCTTGGCTCAGGGCCTTCTGCTCTCTCGCACATACTTTCTCTGCAGCTTATGGGCTTTCTATGCTGCTCCTAGTCTTCAGGCCTCGTTACCTTGAGTCCTACGGTCCACTTAATTTGAAAATTCTACCTTAAATCCATTTCATTCAAGGCAACATCCTCAATAAGACAATGGGTTTCTCTGACCCAGCTAATCCTTTCAACTTCAGAGGCTCCTTGGGATGCGTGTGTCCTCTTCCTGAATCCTGACTAGCGAGTATCCTCTTTCCATAACTGCAAATATGGCAGGACACATTAAATACCTTTATAGCATTTTAATGTAGTCTAATTAAACAATGGGAAACAACGCTAACTACACTTGCAGAACCTTGGAAGTCTTGTCCAACACTCTAAAAAGAAAATTGCATTTCCTCCTTTAAGACAAATGGATAAATCCCCCTAGAGACTATTCTCAAACCCAGACGTTGTTCCTATTGTGTGTGACCAGGTGCCAAAACCTAGGTTAAAACAAAAAATAAAGCAGAGCAACATGTTCTGAAATGATCACAAATGTAAAAGTTTAGGGACAGTTTGGTTCAATGCAGAGTAAGAAAAAGGTGTCATGGACTAAAATTTAGTGGATATCCTGCTAGCCCAGCCATCTGGGTTTTCTCTCTTTTATCTATGACTAGGCTCTTCTGCAACTCTCTAGAGATAGAAGTTAATTTGTAGGAAAAAAAATAGTAATTGAATTCACTTTCTATTGCAATATAACGAATTACCATAAACTTAGTGGCTTAAATCAAATTCATTTATTTCTCTATTCCTCAAGTCCAGGCACAATATAATTGGGTCCTCCACCCAGGGTATTGCCAGGATAGAGTCAAGGTGTTGACCAGTACTCTGTTCTCACTTGGGCCTCTGGGTTCTCTTCCCAGTTCATTCAGATTGCTAGCAGAGCTCAGTTCCTTACAGTTGTAGGACTGGTGCCTGGCTATTGTCCAGGAGTAACTCAGTTTCTACAGACTACTCTCAGGCTGTCCTCAGGTCCTAGCCATAGGCCTTCACAACATGTCAGATTACTGCTTCATAGCCAGCAAGAGAATCTCTCTCCAGGATGCCAGAATGGGGTCTTATTTGTCCTAATCACAGGAATGACTTCCCATATAGTATAACCTAACCAAGGGAGAGACCGTTGCATCATAGGTCTTGCCCACACTCAAGGAGAGGTGTGGGCAGGTGGGGACAAGGCATGTACACCAGGGAGCAGAAAACTCGGGGGCCATCTTAGAAATTTGCCTACCACAGCAGTTCAAATAATTCCTGTACGTAGAAATACAAATCATGCCCAATAGAATGCTACTAATTATAGCCCTATGGATATAGACATATATTTTGCTAATTTGCTTCCATTTGTAAGTTTGTTCCAGCCTTCATTATTCTCTTTTAAGCATGTATAATACCTTACCAGTTCCTTCATTAATGAGTTAAATAAAATCTTTGAAATGTGTTCATATATATTTGTGTAAAAGTTATAATTATATCCTCTTTTTAAATTTATCCTTCAAAGACAGTGAACGCGTTAAAGTTGTGGAGTATGCCAAACCAGTGTATACTTGGGTCATCTGTCTGTCTGTTCACTCACATCAAATCATTTAGCAATCCTGGGCACTGATTTGTTTCAGTATCCATCTGGTCACCCATGCACACTGGATCTCTGTGCAGCCTGGATCTCTGTCTAATGAGATGACTTGGGGATACACCAACTGAAAGTGGCCTTCTGGCTTGCTGGAAACATGGTGGTGGCTCTGTGTCTAAGGACAAAGCCATGAGAGGAATACGAAGGAGTCAAATGGTTTGCTGGTCTCAGTGTCCTATTTAGAGAATAGGTATTCAATTCACATGGTGTCACTCTCTCTCCTCAGGCAAAAAGTTCTAGAAAATTTCTACTTGTCTTTTAAGAGCCAACTTAGCTTTAATATGTGTGTGTGTGTGTGTGTGTGTCTGTGTGTGTGTGTGTTTTACATATGATTAGTGTGTGTGTGTGTGTGTGTGTGTGTTACATATGATCTCTCATAAGCCTTTTCCACTCCCTCTTGGCCTTGAATTAATCTTTCCTTTTTTGTACACATATAACAATCTCTCTCTCTCCCTCTCTCTCTCTCTGTCTCTCTCTGTCTCTGTCTCTCTCTCTCTGTCTCTCTCTGTCTCTGTCTCTCTCTCTCTCTGTCTCTCTCTCTCTCACATACACACACACACACACGCACGCACACACACACACAACAACAACCATGTGAGAGAGCTTTTATTATCCCATGTCCAGGTGAAGATAGAGGCTCAGAAAAGGAAACTATTCACCTAAAGTTACAGTTGGTCATAGATTCAGCCTTAAAATCTGTCCTCTTTACTATCATACTACATAATAAATATTGGTTGGATTTATTCCAAAAATAATAAGTATTAAATATAAATTTTGTGTAACATCGAATGGAAAGTGAATTAGTCAAAACATTCAAGTGTTCTTTTCCATTAACTCTTGCATTTTTCATATCTCTCATGTCTTTCTAGTCCCGGCAATCTTATCTTATTTCACAAAGGAATTGAGTTATAATTTAAACAAGGGAAAATGTATTAGCTTGGTTGTTACACCAGATTGATTAATTTGCTAAAATAACTAATTATAAGTTAGAGTTTTGCAAGATGTCATCTTCAGGGGAAACTGGATAAAGGGTATATGGAATGTCTCTGTATTATTTTTATAACTGCATGTAATTCTACAATTATCTCAAAGTAAAAAGTTGTTTTAAAGCTGATTGTATTAATTCATTTCAATTTTAAGCCACTAAATCAACAAAGTGATATCATATACTCTTCGGAAGTCTTTCCTTGTGTGCGTGCATGCTCACCTGGAGAGACTATCTCAGCTCTAAAAATGTTTTCAGTTTTTCAGAGAGCGATATGCACAGAAATGTATTTAAAAACTGTTTTAGATGCCATAATTTGGAAATACTATTTTCATTGTTTTATTTTAACAAGAATATTTGAATATTTGTTTGACAAAGGTAAGAATCAAATAAAATATAAGTTTAAAGGTACAAATATGAGTGGGCATAAATTTAAATACTCGATTAAACCTCAGAGGAGGAATATCACTCGGACAAAACACAGATTATATTTTCCTAAATCTCTGTATTTAAAAAGTGAGAAGCTATTTAAACTCATAATCTAAGGCTTCAGAAGTTGAATACTGAAGTGGATTCCCAAATCCCTGCCAAGTAGGTTCCCACCCTTTTCTCAACAAAAAGAAAGTCATTTCCCACTACATTTTTATCTGTACCTAAACTTCAGACATTACTAAGAACACTAAATCTGTCACAGCTATAAAAAAAAAAAAATGTATTTGGCTGAGAAATAATATTCCTGACTACTATTCATCTAGACCATGTTCTAATTAATCACTTCAAACTTAAAGAACTTCTGGGCACCAGATTATTCTAAATAGTAGATGTTTTCCATTCTTGATAAATTATTCTCTTTAATTATTCTGAGGAATAATTCCCCATGAACAAACTCAAATATTGACTATTCTACCTAGTTTTTTAAGATAACCCACCCTTTGTTCTCTCTAGAGTTTCTCAGATCTCTTGGGCAACTTTTTACTGCAAGTGCAAGCTCACAATATTCAGAACTATAGAAATAAGTAGATTTTTATTCAGAACTAAAGAAATAAGCAGCTTTCAAACACCACTGTGCTTCTTCACTTTCTGAAGAAGAATGAAAGACGATTATACTTTTCATTGTTCTGTCATCCTTAGGCCTTTGTCTTCATCAATGGAATGTGACATGAGACAAGCAATATTAGTATAACAAAGGTCTGTCACTATAAGTTCTTATGCATGATTTATATTATAATACTATTACTTACAGCACATTGAAAATAGCTGGAACTAGCAGCTGCTAGTTTGTTCACACTGTGTGTCCTAATCTAGACTCCAATCTATAGCTGTAATCTTTTCTGCCCGACAGTAAATGCTGCCTAAATGAAGGTGAATGATTCAACAAAGAACTTGGAGAACATTTATGAGAACGAATCGAAGCGCTGACTATGATTTCTTCCTTTTTTGTGTCTGAGACAGTATTTCAGAACAATCTGAGGTATAAGGAAATAGTTACCTGCTTGGGGATTATAAAGGTCAATCTACATCTACCTGGCCACCAGATATATGCATCCATTTGGATAGAGGCCACTATTATTCAGAACTTCCAAAATGATCATTGGGAAAAATGAACACACCCTTAAGATAGTTTGATAATAATCATAAACACTTAATTTTCTCATTTATTCATTAAAGATTGAATAATGGACCTCACTCAATCAGTATATTTGAAAGTTAAAATTTTGTATTTGGTAGGTACCAATCTGATGAAAAGATCGACTTTTTAATTTTTTTTTTTTTAGTTGTGACATTATTTTAAGAATGCAGATAAAACTGTCTGCCAAAATCATCAAGAAGAGATGTTCTGGGCGGGCGGTAACATAGTTTATGGGAAAATGCCAATCTACTAAAAACAGATAGGAAGCTAAGCAGGGTCGAGCCTGGTTAGTACCACCTAGGAAGACCAGGTACTGTAGGCGTAAAAAATTTAAAAAATAAGGGATTGCCCACAAAAAGCCCAAACTACTTTTTTCTGCATTAAACACACAAATATATATATATATATACACATATATATATATATGTATATATATATATATATACACACATATATATACGTATATATATAAAATCAGAATTTAAGGACATTGGGAAAGTTTGGGGTTATTTATATGTTCTTAAGTAATATACATTCTTTTCTGATAAATCACAAATCAAACCAAATGAAAATATACATTCATAAATTTATCTCTTAGAAACACTTCAGATCAATCAATATCTGTTCCTTATAATAAAAGGTAACCAAAATACTTCCTCTGATAGATGTCTGTCCTAGAATTACCTGTATTGCTTTCTCGTGTCATGTCCAACTGCATTGGTCTCCCAAATTTTGGTAGCCAAAACTCTAACCGTATTCAGAAACAGGATAAAATTCAGCTGAAAGAGAAGGTAATATTACAAAGAATTATTAAGTTCATCTTCAAGATGTTTATAAAATTTACATAAATTGAACTTTTGTATTCAAAGACTGAAAATTACCCATTCCATAAGTGTGAATGAGGGACTCTGAAATAAGATATTGGAAAGGTAGTGACTCTTGATTTGCCCTCATGAAAACGCAGAGATAAAAAGTTTTGACAGCACTGTAAACTAGAAATATCGGAGGATGATCTGCCAGGATCCACAGGGAATTTCCAAACCAAAGTTCAGAGCAAGTCCTGTGGCAGATTGCCAGGAGAAGGATGACAGTTTTTATATAGGTGTAACTAACTGCTCTTAAAAATGAATTCCCAGCTTCTGTAACTTATTTAGGGAGAGAAATAATAGAGTTGTTTGGAGGATGCTCTTTCTTATAGTATATGGAAAATATGGGGTGAAGTACATAAGTTTGGCAAATAAGACGAATAAGATGCTGTGTAAGAAAAGGCCCCCAGTGTAGGCAATTAAATTAAATTTGAAATACAGGTGTGGACACCACCAAAGACAATCAAGTTCTGGCTATAAAAAAAAAAGGAGGGAAAGTATTGGTAGAATAAACCTTTCATGTCCAAGGGTCTCAAGGATCAGTGAAGAGATTCAAAATGAAGGCAAAGAATAAGGTCTCCACGTCTGGGGTAATACGAAAGTGGAAGCCTGACTCCTTGAGTCCCTTCATTTGAGGAAATGTCCGCAGTCTAGAAAGTGCTGGTACTTAGGAGTGATGGAAACGTGGATTTCCCAGAGTAGAACTGTGTTAAAGCCAGAGCAACAGCCAGGGGAGAAGACTCATCGAGTGTCGCATTCGTGGGAATAACTCGTCTTGCAGTGTCTTCAGTCATCTCCAGAATTTGGAGAATTTTGGTTATTGGGTGATTCTCGTGCCCCACTTCCCAACCCAGCTGATCATCCATCCATATCAGCTCTTAACTCCTTGTCACTTTCTTTGCCATCCTACCACTGACTACCCTGTAGGCACCTCCCACCAATTTCACAGCTTTCTGTAAGAACCGGGGCCTGGGTCTTGAACCCTATACCCTGGAGGAAGGCAGAGGTGTACTGTGAGCTGGTGGACAAGAAAGATGTTTTCAGGCCAATAAGAGCTGCTCTCTATGGAGCACTCTCTAGTTTAAATGTTCATATGAATATGGGACAAGAATTTTATTATGTCCATTTATTACAAATGAAGAAGCTCTAACTCAAAGAAATCAACTGATTTGGCCTAAGCTACCAAGCTGTCAGCTGTAATTTGAACCAGGTCTATATGAGTCTGTATTGTGAATTCTTAACCGCTATCTTACACCTCTTAAGGAGGATAAAAAGATGCAAAATGTGAGAGTTGAGGATTTCCATTCATCCTCACCCACTACAACACCTGAGTCACAGACACAGAATCTTTTTCCATAAGGGAGTGATAAGCTGCTCATCTATCACATGAGTGCTACGTTCTGAATGGTTAAACTTACATCATGCCCCATTAATTCCTCTCTCCCTAAGAGTACCTTCCCTGGCAATACAGGGTAGCTGGGAGTGAAAATAGTGAGAAGCAATGCTGTGTAACTACTGTGTGAAGGACAAAGTGGCAGGAGCTAAAGCTGGCAGAGCTGTGGAAACAATGCTAGCTGGGGACTGTCATTGGTCATTCCCCATTCCTGAAAAAGAAAGAATTATAGATGGCTACAGATGGGTCAGCCTGAAGCTCCATCCATATTAGAACGCACATGACTCTATCCTCAGGTCAGTAGAAATTTGACTAAAGATACACACAATGAGTACATCAGCTTAATAACTAAGAAGATATGCTTGAAGACAATGAAGTGGATTATGGAAAGAATTAAAAACTAAGACTGAGTGAGACTTGCTGCCTTAAAAGATAGGTAAACAACATGCACACATACACACACATATTGATACATGCAACAATGGTTGGGTGAAATTCCAAATAATTATTCTGAATAATTTACAAAAGTATAAGATAAAAGTTAATTATAAATTAAGTTACTGATTATCTAGTATTCTAGGTATTTTACAGAAATTAACTTTTAGTCTTTACAATAGCTCTATGAAACAATCATATTATTGTCCCCATTTTATAAATGAGGAATCTGAGTCACAGCTTGCACAAATCATTCATGGTCACACAGCTAGCAAGGCAAAGCCCTAGTGAGGTCCATGCAGCCTCGATGCACAGTGTAGACTCTTAACTATGGCACTATACTGCCCACAAAATAGAGTTAATAGCAGATTGAGATGGAGACAGAAATTTTTTAAAGAGCAGAGTGGATTAAGAAAAGATTGTAACGAATCTAAAATATAACAAAGTTTAAAATCAATATTAGAAAGAGCAAACAATAGATCTGACAAAGCAGAAAAACAAATTCAGCAATTTCTTTGGAAGGCCCTTGAAGAATCTCCCCAGATAGAGGGATAAAGAACAAAGACCTCTACGATAAGACAGGAAATGCTTATATGAAGGACATGGAATTAAGAGTCATTGTGTAGATTATTTCACTTTCTGAAGCAAAGATACTGTTAAATTGAACAAATCAATAAAGGGCCAAGAGAAAAAAATTTCTGTGCCAAAGAAAAACCTGAGTCTGCAGAGAGAAAAATGACATTATATCACTTAGCAAATGGAATGAAAAAGAACAAAACTGAAAGCTTCTGATGATTTTAAGAATGAAGAGATAATTCTAAGAGGAAATCATTTAGCGTTTTTACATATCTCATGTAACCTTCTTGGAAGAAAAATTTTACTTAAAGGTCTACTTCAAGTAAATGGCTGATGAGACAAAACAAAGAAAAAAAAAACATAGAGAAGGTGAATAAAATGACCTTCATAAGCATTAAAACCAGTAACACATAGAATGAATTTTATGCAAATGTGGCTTTAAAATAATGCGAATATAAACAACAGATGAATTGAAACAAAAAGCTCAAAATTTCAGCCATGAAACTTTTGGCTCCTCAGGCTATCTCTGAGACTTTGTTCTTAGAGTCACCTTTGTCTAGATCTTTCTCCCCTCTCCCTGGGTTAATTCATTCTCAGGTTCAGGCTGAAAGTCACCTTTCGCAGAAGCTATTCCTACCATCCCAAACCAAACTGCACTTGTCATGTTTAAATGTTTGCCTCATCCACGGTGCTTAAGCTATGTGAGGAGAGATTGGTGTTCATCTCAGGTGGATAGATCCTGACTAATTATGGGGTCTTCAAAAGCCCCACTTGGCCAACAGACCTAAGATCACACTCTCCAAACCAGCCTCCAGCAGCTATGAAAGTTCTGTTTTGGTTCTCCACCCGCTTTGTTTTACATTTCGACTCACTTAGAATTTGAGCAACAAAGAAGGCTATGTATGAGTTCCTCTCAGAGGCCCTCTGAATACATCACATCTCACTCCATATGCTGGCTTATTTTTCACCATCATGGACATAAGAACGAAATTTTGTTTTGTTTATATGTATATTAAATATCTAAATAATAGATAATAAAATCCTTAATCTATACCAACTATTATAATTCAATTATCTGTATAATAGATATGAAGAGAAAATATGTAGCTCATTTCTTATCAGTTGGAATTTAATTTGTAACTTAGGACAGCATTTACGGTAAATGGTAGAGTTTTAATTTCACTTGATGTTTTATATCTAACCGATTTAGAAGAAGAAAGAGATTCTGGAGTGGAGACCTTCCTCTAGGGAAGAAATCAATTTGGTATTTGCAATTCTGTCAAAGATTAGAGATTAAATTTTATCCATTTAACTTAAATTCCTCCCTTACCAGTCATCCCTCTCACCGCCATCCCTTGTTTTTCATAATTGAGCCTCCTTTACCTACGGCTGGGGGGGAACCACTGACTCGACAGCAGCTGAGAGGCTTATACCTTGTTTGTTTCCTTCTTGAATTTCATGTTTTATATAGCAGACTGGATGTTATATTTTAAAATATCATATGAATTTTTTCTCAAAGACCTTTATTAGAAGTACTATCTTATTCCATCTACCAGAATACCCTCAGATATTTTTTGACAGGTATTTGGGGGAGGGAGGGGACATTTAAAACAAAACACATTGAAAATCTGGAAGTCTCTATTTAACGCACTCTTAGAAGCGTAAAGTCTCTTTAAGAGCCACTACTTGGCTAGGCATTCGAATTAGATCATTGTTCATACAATGAACAAGCCCATGACACACGCCACAAACTATTTGTTGAATGTAGAGATTAGTTTTTAGCTTGGGTACACAATGGTGCTGTGAGTTATAATAAATATTTAAAAACAAATAAATATACCAATAAAAAGTGACCAAAAAAAGAAGTAACCATTATTGCCTCATATTTTCCTAAAATCCATCAATATTCGTAATGCAAACCATAAGCTCTCATAGCTACATCGGTTCTCTGCAGGGTTATCTAAGGGTCAAAATCTTTGCAATAGTGTTGTCAGATTAACATCACACAAAAGACCCCCAAAATGCTTCACAATTTGAACATCCTTTGATTCTTTGGCTCATTTTTGAGGAGATACCAGAAAAAATGAACTACTGCTTGCAGAAGAACAAGTATATAAATTCTAATCTCTAAATGAGTGACTGGCCCTGATTTCTAATTAAAGTCTCTTTAATAAAAGCTTTGAATTGCTTTAAGACTGAGTCTTAGATATTCTATTTCATCACCCCCATTGTATAGACATTGCTTTGATGTATATACTATAAGAAAAATGACTTAAACAAAATTTCTATCCTTCAACTATGAAAGATATGTTACTAAATTAGTTATACATCTACATTTTTTATGAATGACAGCATTTACCTTTTCTTGGTTCCTTAAAAAAGAAAGGTAATTGTTCTTATTGCACATTCACATGTTAATTAAGCTAAGACAAAGAAGCACATTGTCCAGGGAACCATTTTGAGGCTTTATAACATCTCCAAAGAAATGAACTTATATGAATGCAATATG